AATTAATTTCAAACAAACTAAGCTTCTACCCCAGCAGTTGTCACATGACCTTGTAACTCCCCTGTTTTTAACTGCTCTGTTTGGGGCTACTTTATATTTCTCTATCAGAAAACACATGTGCTACATCGAGCAGTTCTCAGACAGCTTTCCTTTTCTCTGAGCCTTATTACTTTCTCTGCGTGGTGGTGAGACAAAATACCATCTTGTAATCCCGTGAATGAGTCATTTTACAAAATTCATAACATTAACTTCAAACTGAGTATTACATCAATGCCTCTGTTGCCTTTGAGCCACTGGTTGTGTCTGAAACAAATTTACATCTAAAATGGTAAGAGAACAATCAAATTTATTTCTGATCACCTCTGTGGCCTAAATAAAGCATGTTATTTTTGTTAAGGATATGATCTATAGGATGCCAAATTCCATCATTTTTGCAATGTTTTGTGTTGCTGTGTTCCGCCACTAGGGGACAGTGTCATCCATCATTTCATTTCTTTGGCGCTAAACTTTGCACAGTTCTGGTGAGTGGCTATCAGGGAACAGGAGAGGGAGTTTGCAGGATGAATCTTTGATACTGGCAAACAGAGTAAAACCCTGGAAACATTGCCATAGTTGACAGAACGCTGGGCGCTGGTCTAGGCTGTCTGCTGGCTCTGTGACCTTGAGCACACCACTTCTCTTGCTAAGCCTCCTTGCATAAAAAGAGGGAGTTCAACCAGATTAACTCTAAAATCACCTCTGATTCCAATTTCTTTGGCATCTAAATTCATCTACAAGCAAACTAGCAGAAAGGTCTTTGGATGGCATTATGTGGAATTCTATTTTGTTTCTTTTCAACCAAGCTCGTGTCTCTGGATATACACATTCGGTCACCTATGCATAATTCCCTCTTTCTTTTTTTGGATAGTTTATTATATTTCGTTATAAATTCATTCTTGTATATGGTATGCTTGTCACCTCACAGGTAATTGGTTTAGAGTTTGTGCTTGGTTCATATCTAAGGCAAAGAGAAATTCATTTTAGCCTCCTTTATTCTCAGCATTAAGAAGCTAAGCCACACCATATTTGAATATTACAGGTATGCTCATCTGAAAAGAAGATAATTTCCTCTGGATCTGTGGTTGATGCTAATGATTCATTGCAAACAATTTATTCTATATATATACTTTGCCCCCAAATAAAACTTTTATTCATTTTTAGGAATAAAAAAAAAGTCAAGCTTCAGGGAAGACAGGTTCTTGAAATTCGACAGTTTCCAGATAATGTCAGAATATGATCACAAGAAAAATGACATGAAATGTACATTAACATAAATCTATAACTGCTCAACTTGATGAAAAATATCACCATAAAATTCTGCCGTTACTGAACCAACCGATATGTTTTTTCTATGACATTTTGTGAGAATGAATAAATTATCTGAAAATGCGTTAGCATCAAAAATACAGAATTTTGTAATAAACACATAAATCATTCAAGTGTTTTCCAGAAAGATGCCTGATCCTAAAAATGGGGGTATTCATATTAATTTCCCCCCTTTCAGCTCCCTTCTGTGTACAGTAACTCAGAGCTCTGGGTGGTAATGGAGAACATCAATTATGGAAGTGTGGGAAGAGAAGACGTAAAGAAAATAGCTCTTATTGAAGAAGTTTTCCCCACAACCTTCCTCATTCCCTACAAGCTCCAACTTCTGCAAGCCTTGCTTTCCCTGAGGTCCTCTTTGTATATGGCCTCAGTCTACACTGGGGTCTACTTTTAAAAAGTCATATTTTTGTAGCTGTGGTACACCATCTATCAGGTACCCATATATAGGGGATGTTTCCCCTATAAAATTGACAGCACTAACTTAACTCTGAAAGATATGTCCTTGTTGCGCTCCTTGAGGAACTGGTTTGCTTTTTTTGTTATGGGCAATTAATATCACATAAAGAAGCAGGATCTCCTCTTTGCTTAGACTACCAGGAAGCTCAGAGGCAAACCAGTTGTTTAATATTAATAGAATGTAGTGATGTGTGCCTAAGATTCCTGAATTTTATCTTTATTTTAGTCATATGTCTATCTAGATTTTCCCAATGATTTTATTTTCTTCTATTTTATTATGCAAAACTTTGTTAACTACTCCAATATCTTTGTGAGCTGTGGCCAAGTATAGATAAATATATGGGTAGATAGTTGTGACATTGTGATTTATAATAAGAAATATATATTTGGTCTTTGTCCCTATTTCTGACCCAGAGCTCCTAAATCCCTTGGAATTTCCTAAGTGATGAGAGCTATAAAAGTGTCTTTTGTTATGTTAAGCAGGTGACTTTTGGTCCACTCCTGAGGATGGGGCTGGTTCTGGTGGAGCCAACCCTGTGATGAGAGGGTGGGAAATTTCAGTCCTCCATCCTCTCCCCCCCCCATGCCCCACCCAGGGAGAGGTGAGAGTATTGAGAGTGAGTTCAGTCCCCCTTGGCTAATGGTTTAATCAACCATGCCTGTGTAATGAAGCCTCCACAGAGATCTAGAGGGACAGGGGTCAGAGAGCTTCCGGGTTGGTGAACACCGGAAGATTTAGGAAGCACCGAAGCTCTGTGCCCTTTCCCCACACCTTGTGCCATGCTTCTCTTCCATCTGGCTGTTCCTGAGTTGTATCCTTTTATAATAAACTGGTAATCTAATAAATAAAATGTTCTTGAGTTCTGTAAGCTGCTCCAGCAAATTAACTGTACCTAGGGAAAAGGTCGTTGGAACCTCTTCTATGGCCGGTTGGTCAGAAGCACACGTGACAACCTAGGCTTGTGACTGGCCGCTGAAGTGGTGGTGGGAGGCAGTCTTGTAGGACTGAGAGCCCTTAACTTGCGGAATCTGGTGCTATCTCTAGGTAGATACTGTCAGAATTGGGTTGAATTGTAGGACACCCAACTGGTGTCTGAGAAATGCTTGGCAGTGTGGGGGGAATACCCCCCCCATGTTGGAATTGGGATTAGAACCATCTTTATAGGCAAAAAGACATAATGATGTACAGAATAATAGTCAATCAAAGAAGTGAAGGTGGAGTCTGCACTGAACTATCAAGAAAAAGAGAGAAGTTGTGAAATCCGTTTCTTGTCTGCTTTCTCCCCAGGACTCATTTTTCAATGAATGCCTATGAAATTTCTATTATGACCTAGAACATTTATACAGTCATGTGTCACTTAATGATGGGGATGCATTCTGAGAAATGGGTCTTTAGGCAATTTTGTCATTGTGTGGACATCATAGAGTGTACTTACAGAAACCTGGATAGCATAGCCAACTATACCCCTAGGCTATATGGTACTAGCCTTATGGGACCACTGCCATGTATGCAGTCCATTGTAGACCAAAATGTTCTTATGTAGCATGTGACTGTGTATCAAACGATTATGGTGTGATCTGGGATCCCTCTGTCAAGAGGCATGAAAATACTTCCTCTACATAATTCACCTGGTGTTTCTAAGGACTGAATACGTCAGTTAACGGAGGAGAGCTTTGAATCAAGTGCTGTGTACATCAAAGGTATTGCCATTTTTAAGGACTGAAGAGGCACTATATGAAATCTCCCCTATTTTGGGGTGGTTTAGGAGCGGTATAGAAGGAAGATGGAGAGGGATCTGTCAGGCTGTGCAGGATGGAGAGGACAGGTGGACTAGGAAATGGCTGTTGTTTCCTGACTCTGCTAATGCAACTGAATTGAATAGTCATAAAAGCCCCACCCATTCTGCAGTTTAAAGAGGAGGAAAGTAAGACTCAGAAAAGTTTGGTATCTTACCTAAGGTCACACAGCCAGGGAGTGGAAGAGCCAGGGTTTTTGCTACTCTCATTGCTCCTTCCACCATGCTACCTGTTATGAGTATCTTCTCTTTGCCCCTCCAGGTCCATCCTCCACCTTCTCCACCCTGCTTCACTCTACTCTCCATCCTGGGAGACCAAGCAGCAATGACCAACATGGGCTGCCCTGCCCTCTTGTTTCTGGTTGGGTTCAGCCATTGGGAAGTCCCAGCAGGAGATGAGAGGGAGGCTGAGCATGTATTCCCGTGGCTCCCCTGCTGTGAGATCCACTTGGGGTGGTGGTGACCCTTGACCAGTGGTCGTTTCCTCTCTCAAGGTGATGTGCTCCTTCTAATTTTCTGTAACTATCCCTTCATCCACTCGGGCCTAGGGGTGGCGACAGTGCCACTGCTGTTCATCCCAGTTCCCGCGCCATCACTCGTTCCTCCACTGCACCCCACACACCTAGTGAAAGTTCCTTTGTAAATAAACTTCCTTAAATTATCCTAATTTGGGTGTTCCATCTGTTCCTGTTAAGACCCTAACTATTACATTTTCTCATTAAAGAAAATGTGATATTGGTATTATGTTATAGACATTAGACTCATAAAAGATGAATTTGATATGTTTCAGTTATTGGGGAATGTAAATCATGGGATTGTCATCTTTTCCAATTGGACATTGTAAGAGAAGATGGGGGCGCAGGGGAAATGATGAGAGAAGCTATAATGTATATGATCCAATTAAATTTCTTTGGCTGTCTGCCATTTGTGCTTCCAGCACTACTGAAATTGATTATTTCCTCTCAGCTTCCTACCTGTATTTTCACCTCCAAATTGAGTTGCTTTGCCTAAAGCGTTAGAATATGTTTTCATATTAATTAATCAATGTTTTAAAATTAGATTTCTATCTCGTGATTTTACTGGGGGTGTGCTTAGAGAAATAACTTAATAATAGATTTAATGCAATATATATGTTTCAAAACAATTCTTTTCTGAAATTGCACAACACGCAATATGAGTTTTCACAATCAATTCCTTCATCAATAAGGTAAGGTGATAAAAAGGCATAAGATGCGCAAGAGTATTTCCAAAATTCGTTATTTCGTGAAGGATAATTCAACAGATCACCTTGTTTAAGAAAATCCATGACCACAAGGAAAAATGCAAGAGGATCTTGGAAGCAAAGAAATATACTTATGTTTCAAACTTTTGACTTGACTTTACCTTTAACGTGTTGGCTTCTGATGTCCTTGGAAATGGGTCTGTCCACCTGTAGAAGACAATGTGGCACCGTTATCTCTTCAATTGTGACTATGATACCATATAATGTCCTGCCACTTTGTATGGTTAGATTCCTGAGGATAAAGGCATAAGTCCCTGGACTCATCATTCTTAGAGGTCGCCATATGTGCATGGTTGGCAGTTAGTCAATATGTGTAAATATGTGTAAATACATGTCCTGCTGTGCCAGTGACAAGTGTAGTGGCCTCAGGTGGTATTTGGCATAAAATACTTGGGTTTGAGATCCAATCCTACCACTTATTGCTGTGAAATTTTGGAAAGAGATTTGCCATATTACGTCTTAGATTTTTCATCATTTTAATAGGAAAAATACTTAGTCAATTCATGTCATTGAGTTATTATGACAATCAATATACATGATCAAGTACATGAAAGCTATCAAGCAGGCAGATCAGAGTGTGGCCTCGTGTGGATGCCTGCTTTGGGATTTCACCTCCATCCCATGCTGTAAGAGAACATGGCAAGTCGCTTAACCTTCTGAGCCTGTTTCCTCATCTGTGAAATGGGAGTAAGAAAAGGTACCTCATGAAGGTGGGAGGATTACATGAGTCACACCATGCAACGTGCCTAGAACAGGGAGTGGCACCAATCAATTTGAATAATTATCAGCTGTCATTATTAATATTATTAAGGGCATGGGCAACCTATGTAGGGCTATACAATGCTAGACATGAGGATGAAGAAGATAGTGAAGACATCATAAAGATGCCCAATGCCTTTGAAAGCCTTTAAGTCTAGATCAACACGGAGTGTAGTCTGTGATGGGTAATTTTATGTTTCAACTTGACAGGGTCGCAGGGTGCCCAGATGTTTGGTTAAATATTATTTCTGGGTGTGTCTGTGAAGGTGTTTCTGGATGAGACTAGCATTTGAATCAGTAGACTGAGTAAGGCAGATGGCCCTACCCAATGTGGGTGGGCATCATCCAATCCCCTGGGGCCCTGAAGAGAATAAAAAGGCAGAGGAAAGAAGAATTCGGTCTCTCTGCCTGACTGAGCTGGGACGTTGGTCTTCTGCCCTCAGCCGAGATTTTCATCATTGGCTTTCTTGGTTCTCACGCCTTTGGATTCAGACTGGAACTTACACCACTGGCTTTCCTGGCTCTCCAGCTTCCAGATGGCAGATCATGGGACTGAGCCTCCAAAATCACTATTTTATTTATGTGTCTATGTCTGTATGTCTCTATCTATCCACCATCTCCGATGTTTCTAGAGAACCCTGACTAATACAGGGCCTTAGTGTTACTCTTTATTGGCACCAAGTTGAGGTGGCCAAGGTGGATGTGGGCGAGGGTCGTTGAGCCTCCTGTCACCTCTTACTTTCTGATGTTCAATGTCCACTTCTTTTCCTCCTCAGAACATTGAACTATGGTATTTATGTCTGGAAAGGGCATGGCTCTTCTGCTGGTCAATCTAGTTAAGGATTGAGTGTGGTTTGGATTTGTTGTTGCCATGGCTTCCTTCATTGCACCATCAGCTTCCAATTCCTCCAGAGTTACCCTGGGGAGGCTGCGGTGCTGGAAGGTTTTTCAATGTTCTTGGTGCACCCTCAGCTTTCAGCCTTCCCTGTGTGTCTTCCCCACAGAGGGAGTGTCTCCTAATGCTCTTGCCCACCTCCCATTGCTAGCCTGGTCATGGGGGCAGGAGAGGTTCTCTGTTGTCTCTGTCTTAAGTGGGCCTGCAGGGTCTTAGGGAAGGGGCTTCCTCAGTATTCCTGTTCTTTTTCCCTTTGGTGGCCAAATTACATTGGATCCATTTGGATTCAGTTGGCTCTTTTGCAGGAGAGCATTTCTTTGCATTGCATCTCCCCCAGCATAGGTGCCCTCTGATAGTATTAGTACAGAATCCTGGGCCCAGGAATATTTCCTGCCCCTGTCCTGGAGCTACTCCCATTTTCTATCAAATATTTATTAGTGTCTATTATATTCCTGTATCAATGCTAGTTTATGAACAAAGAGGAGTAAGAGCTTGGATTCTAAAGGATGACTTGGACATGCATGCGGGTCTGAGTTTACAACATATTATAACACACTATGACACAGGCTTAATTATAACACAGGTTTCTCAAGCTCAGCGCCACTGAGAGCTGGGGCCAGATAATTCCTTGCTGTGAGGGGCTGCCCTGTACGTGGCAGGATGCTTGGCAGCATCCCTGTCCTCCTCCCACTAGATGTCAGCAGCAGTCCTCCAGTCCTGACAACCAAAAATGTCTCCAGACATTGCCAATTTTCCCGTAGAGAACCACTGATTGCAGCACAATGTGTTACAGGTGTCAGACTGCTTCACATGGCTTCCTCCAGAAGGCTTCTCGGAAGCCTCCGGCTGGGCCAAGTGATGCAGCCCAATGCTCTGTGCACCCTGGGCTCACCTCTGTCCCAGCACTTCCTGTTACATCCAACTGCCTTTTGGGCCACTGCCTCCTCTGTTACACTGTGGGCACTGGCTTGTTTTTATCCCCGTTGTTGAGCACAGTGCTTGATATACAGTAAGTGCTCAATAAGTGGAAAGATGGGTGGTGGTTTAGTGGTTTAAGATAGTTGTAACCAACTTAAAGAGTCCAGATAAGAACTGGCCTCTGTAAGGATTATTGAAGCTCCATTTCACAGATAGTTTAATCTCAGCATAAATAATAACTAATAAGAATTAACTCCTGAGAATGAGGTCATAATGAAAAATGTAATCTATTTACTGTAAAAACTTGGTTATTCAAACATTGATTATAAAAGCAAAACTTCCTCTGAATCTGAATTGAGGCCAAGTCCTTATTTAACTCTTCAGACAACTTCCCTCCTGGCCAAAATTGTGTCCTGCCTCCTACATCCTTATTCTCCTGTCGTATCACTCCACTTCATATGTTGAGACTATAGTCCTACTTGCAAAGTGATCTAGCTAAAGGAAGGAATTTGCTTGTAACAGAGAGCTACAAAAATAATATGAAGAGAATATGAAGGAGCAAGAATGGAAGCTTAAATTCTGTCGGAGTTGTTTTACAAAAGCAAATGAGAATTATCTTTCTTAAAATAATTCTTCTCATGAAGGCTGACTTCCATGTAAAGAGGGATTGTCAGAGATTTCTAGGGAAAGGAAAGCCTCACTTTTCAGGTCAGCATTCTCCGCTCCTTTATAACCAGACCAGAACTTGTGTCTTCAGCCACTGGCCCAGTCATGCTAAAGTTCCTACTGTTCCCTGCATAGGCTCTATGCCACAGTGATGAGAGTCCTCAAATGTTCTCTCCTCTGTCAAACAGCCCATGTGGGGTGGCCCCAGTCATGGATCTTGGTGACAGTAGCAAATACTCACATGAGAACTTTGAAGGATAGATTGTAAGAGTTCCATGTGAACAGAAGTCGAACTGGGGAAAGACTGGGCCTCTTTTCCTATTAAACAGCTATTCATATTTCAAGATTCGGCTCAAATGACTGGGAGTTTGTTTGGTCATTTTCATCTATTTAACTAACATCTGCTGAGAACCTCTTCCATAAAGGCACTGTGCTCTGTGCTGGGGCTAAAATGGTCCCTGTTCTCCAGGAGATGTCATCGATTGACTGATTGCTTTGCGCCAGGCACGTTGCTCCGTATGTATTATCATAAGAGCCATGAGATTTTGTAGCTAAGACAATAAAGGCTCAGAGAGGGTAAGTAACTGGCCCAAAGGGACAGAGATCACAAAGTTGGAGCTATTAAAATGGGGATTATAATGCTCATCTTGTGATGTTATTTTAAGGATTAAATGTCATTCATTCATTCTCATCTTTATTCAGAAAAACTTTCCTCGACTGTCCTTACTGTACTTTAATGATTATTTTTTCAAAGCAGATATCTATTATCTATTTATTACTGATCTCCTCCCACTGGTATGCAAGTTTCATGAGAGCAGGGCCTTGGTTGTCTGCCGATGCGTGCCAGAGCCCATAATTGTGTCTGGTCCATGGCAGGCACTCAACACATATTTCTTGAATGAATTTGTTGAGTGAAAGATTGAAGTGTTCAAGTAGGTGCCTGTGTAAAGAGGAAGTGTTCAATATTTCATCCTCATCTTGCTCTCCCGGTGTCTATTAGATATGTTCTGTGTGAACGACATTGCTTGGTAAAACTCGTAGTTTCCCTTTCTTGTCAATATTAACAGAAGATCAAGTTAAATAGATAAACAATGTGAACAGATAATGCAAGAGGAAGGACGTGCTATAAGTATTCAAAAGCATATTCACATTCACTAATAAATGTGGTACAAATTAAAAAAAAACAGTGAAATCCCTTTAAAAAATATGATTAATAAAGTAATAGCCAGTTTTGGTGAAAGTTCTATGAGGTGGACATTCCGATAGAGGGTTTGAATTCCCATAGAGGGTAAATTGAAATGATCTTTCAGGAAAGACATTTCATAATATTTACCAACTTAATGGCTAAGTAAAATAATTAAAAATCCCATAATAGGGTATGATATGCCTGTAAAGACTATGCTTGACTATCACATGGGAAATTGTTTTATAGCCAGAACTTAAAATGAAAAGAAAAGAAGGCCAGGCATATACTATACGATAGGGACTCCTTTGCATGAAATATATCTGCATAGAAAATATTGACATGAAATGCACCAAAACATTATGACTGAGAACCCTGCAACCCCAGGGGTGATTAACTTGTATTTTAGGCATTTATGAATTAAGAAAATGAAACGTTAGCAAAGTGTTATTAAAAATAAAATTCTATATGTGTGGTTAGAGCGTTTGCATTTACAAGATATTTTCGTAAGATTATCTTTTGTAGTCTCCAAACAGCCTTTTGAAATCAGCATGGTGTGGATTTTTATTCCTGTTTTGTAGCTGAGGTTACAAAGAAGCTCAGAAGGCTGTGTGACTTACTTATTACCACCTAGTTAGCAGTTGGCAATGTTGGACCTAGAATCTGGGCAAAATGATATATTATTATCGAAAAGATTTGAGTTCAAATTCTGCTTCCGGAGAACGGGATGAGCATCAGATGAGACGCATGTAAAAATCCTTAGCCTGTTGCATGGCTCACAGAAAATCTTTAACAAGTGTTAGTTGTCCTCCCTTCTAGGTACTTATTCCACAGGACTATGATCCCATCAGGCATGAGATGCCTCGGGAATGAGAGATGGGGAAGCTCCTGGCTGTTTGGAAGTATCTTACACATGCTTGGTTTGCAGGATCAAGCCTTTACTCACTTCTTCCGGCCTCATCCGCATGTTCCAGGTTTGCTCCTCTGTGGGGATAGAGGTCTTGGCATCTGAGGAAAGGGCAGTGTCCATCACCCCCTTGAAATAGCGTGTGTCTGTGAAAAGAGAAAAATTTAAAGTCATACCTTATGTGGACTCAGCATCTTACAATTTACCAAATATTTGCACATCTACAAACTCATTGATTCATCACAACGTAGGTATGAGACAAGCAGGTCTACTTCCACTTAGCAGATGAGGAAACTGAGTCTCAAGCAGGAGAAATTACCCATCTTGGTCCATCCACATAAATGCCAAGGTCTGAACTTGAGCATCCGTCATTTCCTCAGTCACCTGGGAAATTCCACTCATCCTCAAGGCTTGGGCCTTGTCACATCCTTTGAAAATCGTCCCATATCCCACCCACCTGCACCCCACCCCTGGCTTTCCTTTCTGCATTATACACTTACCCTAGTCTATCACGTTTATCTGTTAATCTGTCTGTTTCCTCCTCTAGATTGTGACCCTCCTGAGAACACAGATTATGCTTTGTTCATCTTTCTGTCACTTGATCAATCCTAACATGGAACTGGCACAGAGTAGATACTCAGAAAATGCTTGTTGAGTGAATGAACAAAGGAATACCATTGTTATTTCCAAAGTGATTCCCTCAGAGGAACTTCTATAGATTCATTCCAGACCCTCAGAAATCACAAAGGCTTCCTGTTCTCCCTTACAGCAGTGTGCTACATCTAAGGTTCAGAGAATTGCTGAAGCTGCCCCATGCCCCCCAGTTAGAAAGAAAGAAAGGTGGCCAGGAAAGTAGGTCTTCCTTACTCTTAAAATGTTTGGCTTTGCTGGCATTCCTAGTGCCACTTGCAAAACGAATCAACCAAGTTAGAAAGTCTTCCTTTCACTCTACTCCTCACAACGAGAAGTCCATCTGAACATTTCCCGTGTTGACCACCTCCCTGCCTGTCCACCCTCTGCCATGCTCCTCAGTCATCCCCAGGACTCAGGAAGAACATCGTGATAACAACAGCCAACAGTTCTAGAGCTCTGACTCTGCACCAAGCGCTCTGGTGAGAACTCAACATGCATCGTATGTGTAATCTTCAAAAGAACTCTCTGGGGTTAGTTCTGTTATTATGAACCCTATTTTCAGATAGAGAAAGTGATTTTTAGAGACTTGCTCAAGGTCATACAGCTAGTAAGTCATGGAGGCAGGATTTTAACCTAGAGTTATTTAATTCAGAATCTGCAGCTTTAATTACTATGCAATATTGTAGCATGGGCATGCATTTTCAGATTTTAGGTCCAAAATGTTACCTGCATATTCAGATTCCTTTATAGGCCTTGCTGGTAAAATTTTCATCGATTGCCACGCCTCTACCACATGACATTCAGGGTCTTCATAGTCATCATCATCATGGCCTTTTGTTCCATCCAGGACTGCAGCAAAGTTCTTTTCCTAAGCAAAAGGGAGCATTTGAGTGAGTCAAAGGAAAGTATAATGGAGATAAAGATTACAGACTACAGTGCTAGCTAGGGGGTGATCTGGATTCTCTTAGCTGAGGGTTAAAGATTTAAGAGTCTGGCATCTGGGACAGTTAAATTCTTGTAGTAGAACTCTAGGGGCTGAGTGGTTAAGTTCACATGCTCCGGTTCAGCAGCCCAGGGTTTCACTGGTTCTGATCCTGGGCACAGACATGGCACTGCTTATCGGGGCCACACGGAGGTGGTGTCCCACATGCCACAACTAGAAGGACCCACAACTAAAATATACAGCTATGTACTTGGGGGGATTTGGGGAGAAAAAAGCAGGAAAAAAAAGAATTCTAAAGATATCCCCAAATATTCCCATCCTTGGTTATTTAATTAAATAATAATCTAAGTGCTGCTGTGAAGGGATATTGCAGATGTAATTAACACCACTAATTAGCTATCTTTAAAATAGGGAGATTATCCTGGATTACCTGGGTGGACCGAGTGCAATCACATGAGCCCTTAAAAGCAGAAAAAGGATCTATTTGCAGATGACGTGATCTTGTATATAGAAAGTCCCAAGGAACCACTAAAAAATTGTTAGAACTAATGAACGATTAAGCAAGGTGTCAGGACACATGATCAATATAAGAATTTAAGTTGTATTTCTATATATCAGTAATGAGCTTTGAGTCAGAACACTGGGAATGGCAGGGTTGGGTACTAGCCTACAATAGATGTAATTGTCATCACAGAAATTCTGGAATCTGCACCCATTCATCGTGCTATGTTTAAGCAGGGACCTTACTCTTGATGATCTCTATACAGAAAGATCCCTCGTCTATCATACAAAGCCACCAAGGGATTCTTTTTCCTTCCTGGGTCTCAAAATGCTCCCCTCTTCCCTGGTTTATAGAAATAGTTTTGGTCTTCATTTGGGATTGAGAGAGGATCCAAGTGCCACCATGTAATTTAGTTTAATAAGTGCTGGCATTTTGAAGGATCTAAGCAGAGTGTCAAGAGCTCAAAAGAAGGAGATAGAGACATCTTTTCTGTGTTTTGTACTGTCTCTTTTGAACACCAACCATGCCATGAGGGTGGCTTCACGGTTCCACTGTTGGGCTGTGAGGGGCTGACAACTGGAGAAGACTGTGGAACATACATTCTAGAAAATCTTTAACGTCTTAAAGTTTCTGCTAGATTGCAGATGGCCATGGCTATGAAAAACAGGTTCAGTTACAAGAGATTTTCATGTACATTTCACAATTGACTATTATTGTAATAATAACTACTGTTAAAGAAAGTCGGAGATATGGGAAGGCCACTCATCATGGATTCCTATCCTGCTCTTAAAGCCCCTCGAGCATTTGTTACATATGTATATGTGCTGAGTGCTTTTTGCGCTTTATTTCATTGCACGAGCAGAAAAATCTACGAGGTGATTTTACTGTAGTGGAGGGACCTGGAATTAGACAGGCTTGCATTTAAACTCTAGCTCTGCAGCATTCTAGCTTCTGATGTATTTGGGCAAGTTACTTACCAGCCCCAAGCCTGTAAGTGTGTGACTTTTTCTATCATCACTCCATCAAAGCAGTTTGGTAAAGGTGAAGACTAGCCACCCAACAAGTCCAGTTCCCAGGTAAAACTATAGCACAGGGGGACTCGCCATCCCCTATCTGGAAGGCCTTTTGTGCTCCACTTTGGCTCAAAGCAACTCTGCTCATTTGAAGCCAGGATGCAGGATGTTATTTACTAAGTCTGTGTTCTCCATGGGACAGAATAAAGAAGGAGAGGGGGCCCCCTGAAGACAGTAATTTTGACTTTCAATGTGCTATCCCTTGATTCCCACCCAAGAGCTCCCTCGGGAAAGCCAGGCTTGAGTCTTACATGAACTGAGGGATCAGTAAGTTATGAAGGGTAAGTTTATCAAATTCAGGGAGCTCAGGTGCAAGGCACCAAGGACCAACACAGTGACCCAGGAGTAGGAATAGAGTAGAAGGTGAGAGCTTGGTGACCCAAAGGAGAAAGGTTAAGTCCCTGAACACAAAGTTGGAGTAGGACCATTTGCATGGTTGCATTGATGCTGTGTCCCCAGCAACTGGGTATCAGAGCCGTGAAGCCCCTCACCCTTGATCTGTCTCAGGAGGTAAGCAGGGCTTGGACTGGGGGTTCCTCGATGGGAAATCAGGTGAGACTGGCCTGCTTGGGGGCAGCGTGGATCCTGGATGGAGTCACTCATCCTAGATCTAAACTGTGGGTCCACTTTATGACCTTAGGGAGGTTACTTAACCTCTCTGACTCAGATGCTCCATCTTTAAATTGGAGATGGCTAAACCTACCTTGTTTGGTTGTAGTCAGAGATTAATTGAGCAAAATGTATGTACAGGTTCTACTTAGGCATCTGCCATGACAGGAGCTCAGGACATGTTAGATCCCCTCCCTCTAGCTGACGATGCTGAGTATCAGCAGAACCAAGTACCCAGGGCAAAGCAAAGCTGCGGGGAGGTGAACTCCAGGGTGTTTCACAGTTGACCTGGCAAAGTGGGTGAAGGTGATGGAGCTGTTCTCCAGAACTGCACACAGAAGTGAGTTCTGAGCTGGAGCAGGGGCTTGGGACTCCTTGGGGATTTGACAGACGAACATTTATTGCAAGGGCCCCATTTATATGCTGTTATGGCAACCGCCAAGACTCCCCACAGCGCAGCCTCTCTGGGAAAGTCCTGGGCCTGCTGGAATAACTGGGAACGGGAGATGGAGCCCATCTTTCATCCAGTTGCCTTGCTAGACTTCCTGGGGGCAGGGCACAGAGGGAGCCCAGGCAGAAGAGCACGGCCACCCCAGGTCTGAAGAGAATCTACTCTAGGCCCTGAGAATCTTGCTCCCAGGACCGAATACAAATATTTGGTTTATTTCTTTCCAGAAAGAAACAGAGTTTTGCTTTAAATATAATGAGTTACATCTGTTTATCTATTAGCCTATCTATTATCTAGTTACTGTCAATCTCAGAGGTTCGTAACTAAAAGCCCAGTATTCTCTACCTGTAAATGTCCTAATTTATAAAATATTTAGTGATTGTGTGAGTGTGTGTGTGTGTGTGTGTGTGTTGTGTTCTGGGATGAGGATCCATAGCTTTAATTCAATTCTTAAAGAAGTCTTTCAAACAGTAAAGAACTAATGATTTTACAGGCAGATTCTATGTATGTATGTATGTATGTATGTATGTATCTATCGATCATCTATGGATATGTTAGTTAAAGCTTTAAATTATATACAGACGCAATTTAACAATAAAATTATTTATAATATTAGATATTTTAGTTCATGTTATAAATTTTAAATTTTCTTTAGTCATTAAAATTCTTTGTAAATATTATTAATGGCTTCAGATATGAGTATATCATAATATATTCAACTATTTTTCTATTTCGCATGATCCCAGTGTGTTGCCATTTAAAATATATTACTATAAAATATATATGAGTGTGTAATCCAAATTCTAGGTTACTTCCTTAGTTTAAATTCCCGACTACAGTATTATTGAGCCAAAGAAAATGGACATTTTTATATTGCCTAGTTAATATTTTGAGATTGGTTTCCAGAAAGTTTGTTCCAATTTGAAATTTCACCATGAGTGTTAGGAAGTGGTTTGCTCATCACACACTTGCCAGCACCCTGTGTTGGTGTTTTCACCTTATTCAATCCACACAATGGCCATGTGAGTTAATTTTTATCTCCATTGTATAGCTGAGGAATTGGAATACAGTTTTATACCCAAGAATTGAAATGCGGTTTTTCTCTGCCAGGAAATTACGCCATTTGGAAAAGGTTTTGTTCTGTTTTATTTTGTTTTTAGTTCACCAAGTACCTTGAAAAAAGCCACTGACTTTGTAAATATCAAGAGTGACAAACAAGTAAGGCAGACTTACGCAATGGAGAAGAGGCTTGTGAATAGTCCGGTACTGGCCTGCCAACAGAAACAGAGCCAAATGTTACTGCAAAACATTAAAAAGACTAAACCCTTGTTTTTCCCCAGAAATCTTGCACTCATTTCAATTAATTTTTCTTGACTCTAATTGTTCAAAATGAAGTGCGTATTTCCATACTTCTCATTCTATCTGCTGCTCTTGCAAAACAGGGCAATAGAAAAAGAGGAAAGAAAATTAAATTCAACTAAGAAGGCTTGCTCTTTCTACAGCAGGTTAATATTCTCACCGAGAGAAAAACAATGTTAGAAGACCCCACCCCACATCAATTGTGCCCTGAGTCATGACTTAGCGACATCTCAGCCAATGAAGAGGTTTATTTTCCCCTCCCCTGTCCCCCTTCTGGCACACATGTTGCACTTGCAATCGTCTGTCCATACATCTGTCTCCTTGAACAGACTGTAAATATTTTGAGAGCAAGAGACATATCTGTTCATTCATTTATCCCTAGCTCCAGGCACAGGGCCCAATATTGACCATATGAGTATTTGACAGGTGTTGGCTGAATGAATATTGTTCGGTTGCGGGTTCTCAACACTCAGCTCCCTCATTTGAGCTTGTTTTATGAAAGACTGCCTGGAGGTCATCTAGTGCGCTCAGTGTTCGATGTCTTAAATTTTGCCCTCACATCACGCAAAACCACCAAAGAACTGCTCATGTCATCCGCAGGGGTTTTGCTTCTTCGGAGACTTAATTTTCCTAAATTGCCTTATAGCTTCATGCTGTTGGTTTGCATTGAGGAACATTATAAGTAGAAAATGTTCTTACTGCAGTCTCTTTATTAGCACATATGTGAGAAGTTTCTAGCAGGTCTCAGGACCAGAAGCTGCATGCTTTTTTGCAATTGGTTTGTTTTGATTTAATGGAAAACACCAGTCCTATGAGAGATCATATTTCCCTCCTCCTTTGGCTGCTAAGAACCTCAGGGCAAATTTCTGGCCTGACTCCAGGTAGTACAGAAGACCACGGTATGATGCTTCTACATCTTGGTCCAGTCTCATCATGTTCTTAAACTTTTGTCCTTTCACCCTTAATTCTCTTACAATACCAAAATATGAAATAAATACCTGTGAATTTGTGTGAGCATGCCTAAGTCTTTGGTAGAGGGTAATGTGTAAATTTCTGCAAGTTTGGCTCAGTGGAAACACACCTTGCTGGAGTTTTCCCAGGACCGCTGTGTGGGGAGGCATTGACTCTTTGAGATAATAAGCCAGGAGGAGCAGAATCCTGTCTGCACCTGCCACCAGTCCCAGCCCATCCTGATAGCTAACACTACCCTGACACTAATGGCACCTTCATGTCCAAGCACAGCCACACCCCTTCTGAGATCCCTAGCAGAGAAACCCACAGGTTTCCTTGCCTTTCAGAACAGCAATTTGTCCTCTGCCATGAATTGAGTTAAATTAATAAGGTCACCCATTAAGGACCAGCTGGCCTGGAAGGAGCAAATGATCACAGAATTATTGGGGTCTGCTCTGGCTCTCATGACTTCTGAAAGGAGCTCCACTGTCTAATGCAGGGTTCAGTAGAATTGCATTTTAGGAGATTGGCCTCATTGAATGTGGGCGTTATCCTGACAACCCCCGAGGAGCCAGGAGGTCTCCTCTTTCTCCGAAGGCCAGCATCTCAGCCTGAGACTCTGCTGGATTCCCCAAATATGCCTCATGCCACTTCTGGGGCTTTATGTTGACTCCACCGGGAGTCCCCACCTCTTCCCCCCGCCCCTACTCCCATTTTGCTTTCCAAAATGCTCAGTGTCCTTTGAGACTGTCCTGGGGCATCCACCTCTGACCACTCCAGGCTGCTTTAACATCACTGAGGTGTCAGAGCGCTCATTTTCTGTCACGCTCCCGGCAACACTGAAATAAAAATAGGCAGCATCTGATTACTTCTTTGTTGTGTACGTACACTGCCCGTCTTCAGGGAAAGAATTGTCTTTTATCTCTGTCTCCCACAGTGCCTATCTGTGTTATTAACAATGCAGAGTTTTGGAAATGTAATTTAAAAGCCTAGTTTTACAACTGTAAATCAGTGCATGTCACTCATGGCCCCCAAAGTACAGTCCAGATTCCCTTCTGTGGTCCCCAGAGTCCAGAACAGCCTGGCTCCTGCCTGCTCTCTGCTCTCATCTCTTTACAGCTTCCTCCTCACCTCTGAACTCTGGCCACATCAGCATCTTTTCAAGACTCTCCTTCTACCTCAGAAACTTTGCATGCACTGTCCCTCAGTCCAGAATGTTCTTTCCTCAGTTCTGCCCATGCCTGGGTCATTTCTTCCATCAAATCCTATCTTAAATGTCATTTCCCCCAGGAGAAAGTCCCTGACCATCAATTTCAGGTAAAACTTAAGGAGCACCTCTCTGGCCCTGGTCCTCACTATCTCAAGCACCTGGCATGGCAGTGAGAATGCTGTGTGTTCAGGAAACCCCATTTCCTCTTCCTGCGGGCACTTGACTGGTATACATTTCCCAGCATCCCTTGCACTGGGCAGCCATGGCATGGCACTATGGTTGCTGGGACCAGGCAGGGGTGATAGACTCCACTCCAAGCTGGCTCACTTGACCCTCCAGGCTCTCATTCTTGCCTCAGTGGCTGGCCAGAGACAGAGGACCCCAAGACCCTGAGGGATAATGGAAGCCACTGGGTAAAGGAGAGTGAATCCTGAATGAGTGTTTGGAAAAAGACCTCCTTCAGTCCTCATTGGATTGTGATGTGGGCAAGAAATAAACCTTTATTTCATTAAACTACCAACATTTGTAGTTTATGCGTTATCAATGTTAGCTCTCCTGATTAATACACCCTTTTTAGTTTCTCCGCAGCGTGTAGGAACAAAGCAAGCCAATAAATATATTATGTAGTTACAGGCTGTGGTGCCTGCCTCCCCCAAGGCAAGGGTGAGATTTCAGGCTCTTTTTCACTCCTGTAACCCAGTGCCTGGTAAGTGCACAATAAATGAACAGTCAGCTGTGAAATATAGTGAGGGGTGTGGTGGAAACACCCCAGAAATGGGAACCAGCAATAGAACTTCAAGTAGAATCTGATCTCTTTCCTTGCTGAGTGAACTTGGGCTTGACACACCTTCTTTCTGGGCCCCTGATTCCCACCAAAGTGGCACCCCCAAACTCTTCCAGGTCTCTGAGTCTCTCTGGACCTGAAGGATAGGTTGGCTTCTCAGAGAGAGCCATTTTCTAGAAAGATGAAGGTCGTTGCACAGTAGATTTTCATACCACCATCCTGGAAGTCATGCCCACGTGTGTCTGTGGAGGGTCCTTCATCACCCACTAACAGCAGACAGCTCCAGGGAACAACTGGCTTCTACGTGCCCCTCAAGGAAGCATCTTTTTACAAAAGACAACATTCCCTTGGAAGTTATTTTTAAGATGGAAGTGAAGATGAATATGTGTCATATGAAGCTCGGGGGTTTCCTGACTGGCAGAAAGCAATTACTCCAGTCTTTGGCCCTCAACTTGTACACCTCATGCCCACAGAGGTATGACAAAGGCGTGTGCCCAATGCCATCCAGTTAAGATCTCCTGACCATTTGCATCTTGGGTGCCTAAAAAAACAGAAAAACAAATCCTGGGCCCCAGCACAAGCAAATTACTTTCTACCCAAGCTCCTATGGTGCTATCTGTTCACTCTGAAGTCTGAGGACCACTGACTTAGGAGCGCCAGCTCCCTTCCAATGGGAGATGGGCCATGTAAGCTAAATAAAGTAAGACAGAGAGACTCGCAGACTATCTTTACTTGTAAACACTTCTATGAACTAAGCCCCTGGAGGCTCAAGGCTGGTGTCTTATCTACACCACTTTCAGTACCTTTACAGGGACAGTGTAGCTGCCAAGCCGCCAAATTCTGTTGCCCTGGGGTAGTTACATTTAAAGGAAATCATGGGCTGAAACAACTCCCAACGGGTCCCAGAAGAGAATATGCTTATCTGGTGTGAGAAGAGAAGTTGAAGCATGAAGGCTTCAGGGTTTTAGAACTTTCTATTTCTCTAGGAAGTGAAGTCAGTTAGCTGGCCTTTCACAGGATTACATTCCCAAGCCAGACAGGTTCCCCAAGCAAAACCAGCTTCTGTTTTCATTTCAGTCTCGAGGTTTTGGAGGGATTGGGGAGGAAGAGAGTGGTATGGTGAGTGTTAGGGTTGGCTCCAACTCCGGAGGCTACCAGCTGGACTTACTCATCAATATGTGGCCAAAAGCGACAGGCCAGTGGATTCTCACTACTGAGCACTAAGTACTGTGAGGCAGAGGCAGCTGTGTGTCTCCCCATATCCAGGTTCCCTTTCTTCTCAGTGCTACAACCCTCGATGGTTAGCTGGGTGCATGACCTCCTTGAGCAAGCACTTCCGACACATCCTAATATTCCTTGCAGCTGCACGTGGCCATGAGTCCAAGTCTGGTAGAAGGAAGAGGTGGAAAATCAACTAACAATTTCCAGGAAACTTTCTGAAGAGAAACTGTGCACCGTTTCTTCCTTCTTTTTCTTCCCTTCCTCTCTCACACTGCCTGGAGCACAGATATGGCTATTTTAGGCAATGGGATTGAGGCCAATACAAGAGAGGGAGCGAGACAGGAGGAGCAGTGTCTCTGAGGACTTGGAGGAACAGAGCTGCCAAACAGCCTTGGACCGCTTACCTCTGGACTTGACTTACGTAAGAAGAAAATAAACCTCTGTCATGTTGAAGCCCCCATGATTTCTTTTTCTAAGTGTCTTTCAATCTTTAATGTTTTATCTCCTCCTTTTTGAGGTCTGCGTTGGAGTTCTCCAATAACGTAGGACAGCCTCTAATCAAAGGCGCGAACGTGTATTTCATGGCAGCTGAATGAGAAGGTCTAGGTTCAAACCCTAGCCGTGTCACTTTCTGGCCTTGTGACCTCAGGCAAGCTCCATCACGTATGAGCCTTGGTTAACTAACGGTAACTTGCAGAATGGGAATAATAGTGTCGATCCCAAACAGCTGTTGGAAGTTTGAAAAAAAAACTTCCTGGCTCAGTGCCCCACTAACAAATTGCTGTGTTCTGTGTTTCATGTCTTTTCAAGTTCAACTTTATGACCAAATCTTTTTCACTCAGTCAAGATCTTTAGTACTCTCTGCTTTCTGATCTCTATTAGGAACTTGCTCATTATTTAGCACTCATTTTGAAACAAAGCATGTGCCTTTTTCAACATTCAACTCTGTTGCCACGCACCTGCCGATTCTTCCCAAGGCTTCTTCAAGCTGAGGGCCCTTCCAGCCCTGAGGCTCAGGGATTCAGTGACCACCATCATCACGTTGAACCCCTAATTTTAAAGATGAAAACACTGAGGCCAAAAGTACTGTGATGGATGTGAGTTCTAGTCCACTGATTTCTTTCCAAATTAACTGACTTCTCTTGGGCTTCATTTACCTAATCTACACAGTGAGTGTAATAAAATAAGTACCCTACAGCTAAATTAGACAAGTTTATAGAATGGCTGGCACAAACGAGCTGCTTTCTTTCCATTTTCTCTCATTCTCACTCCTAGGTCTCACCGGAGTCATAAGAAAACCAGTATTCAAATTCTGGGTTCCACAGCTACAGCCCTGGGTTCTTTTATCTATGCTGGGTGGCCTTTCTCAATTTTCATCATTTAGGAACTAGAAGGTCTTTGGGGACAGAGGGCATCAATCTAACCTTCATCTCAATATGACGAGAAATAGGATAGTCCACACCCTTTCCCCTGTCAGGTTCCAAACTTTAGAAATCTTCAGTCTGGCGTCAATCCATGGTGTCAATCCAACGTAGGGAAAGGCAGGCATGAACTTCCTTACATTCCTTTTCACTATCTGAGTAGAGGATTATGATACCCAATAAGCCTTGACTATATCACTTATACTTGAAAAGAAGAGAAGGAAGAGGGAGGAAAGGAAGAAAGTAGGAAGGGAAAGAGAGAAAGAGACAGATAGAAATAGAGACAGATATAGACTATATCTATACACACACATATCTGTGTATGTATCAGTCTATCTATCATCTATCAGCTCTTTCATCTCACTGTTTTGGCCATGTCAGTTTTTTTCTCTGAACCGCGGTCTGCTGACCTAAAGATTATGAGCTGAAATTCCAAGTCACAAACAGTCCGAACTCACAGAAGCAGCTACATGGGAAACACTTATGGGGAGTCTGGAGAACAGGCTTACTGTGCTCACTGGCTGGCGCTCGGAAATTCCTTTCTCTTCTCTAGTCCTCAATTTCCTCATCTGTAAAGCCTGGCGTTAGAATCGCAGACTAGCTCAGTCTCCAGGACCTTTCATTTTCATTTTTTTAAAAATCTGTTTTCAAAGCTGGTTATACTATCTGTTACACTAAGAACTACCACAAACTGGTTGAATGAATGAAGGATGAATGAATGAATGGTAATAGTTAAGGCAGCTGCCTCCCATCCCATTTTCTGGATGACCTCCAGAAATTAAAATATTCAAATATTCGGAGACAGTTGTTGCTCAGAGAATTGACAGCAGCTTCTCGGTGGGGACAATCTTGATAGTTTCCTTTTTTCTTCTCTTTTTGCTTTAGCCAGTGATTCTCTGAAGACCATCCTAGAAATACCTGAATGCAATTACCTTGTTAAAGGCAAATCCTGGCTCGTGCTTATGAGAACTGGGTGAACTCCTTTTCCCAGCAATTCCACTGTCAACTTTTCAATTTGTTTCTGTCCACCAATTTCCCAACGTCTTGGGGACAACCAGCCTCTGCTAAACTAAAAGCAGGTATTGCAATATCTAGAAATGGCCAGCAGGGGGCATTGGATGTTCGTACATTCCATACCTGCATTTCCTCCCTCTGGTCCTAAAATATGTATTAATTTTGCTTTAAAAAGTGGGAAAGAGCAACCTTCAAGATCACTTTCCTTAGCAAGCCAAAAAACAAAATCAAAACAAAACAAGTGTTCCTGGACAACATGAAATTTCTCGTCTGTTTAATTGAAAACAGCCAACATATATCTTAATTAGGGTTTTTATTGTGTATGGTGACCTTAGACAGAAGAAGTAGTCTCTAAATAGGGCTATCTTCTCCAATTTCACTCTTTATTCAGTGGAAGTAATATTTATTCAATGGAAAAACATGGCACTGGTTTCCATGTATCAGCCTCAGAGAAGGTGTTGGTATTGACAGATTGTCCAAGTTTGAATGTGAGTCTGTTTTCTCCAGGCCTGGAGTATCTTTTTTTTTTTTTTTGGTAAATTGCTTTTAGTGAACAAAAATACATGCTACTGTAGAAAAATTATAAGATACCGATAAGCAAAACAGAAGAGAATAAAAATCACTATAATGTCCCCATACAAAGACAACCACTATAAATATTTGATTATATCCAAATGACACACACACACACGATGTGGTCCATGTATACATGATCACACTGTGTGCACACTGCTTTCTTGCCTGTTCTTTCATAAAATAGCATACTATAACATATCCGTATCACTAAATATACTTTAACATCATCATTTTTAATGACTACGTAGTATTCTCTTATATGGATTCCTCACCATACTTTCAACTAATTCCATGGTGAAAAAATTGCAAACACTTAAAAGTATCTGGGACTGTTATAAATATCACTGTGATGAGCAGTCTCTTATGTAAACGGTTGTGCACACCCTTAATTATGTCAGTCCTGTTCTATTTTAATAGACTCTTGCAGTGGTTCATAAGCACCCACAGGCTGGGTGCTGTGGTTTGCTGCTAGGTATTTTTGGCAGGGTAGAGATTTGCGTGTGTATGGGCAGGCTTTGGCCACTGAATCTCAAATGACTTTTTTAGGGGTTTGATTTGTTTTCTTTTCCCTGCTTCTGTCTCTAAAATGTTGCTAATGAAATGGAATGCCCACCTGTCAGTTTTTTCTCTGCCTTAACGTAGGTGGAGAGCAAGGTGGAAGGGAGAGGAGAACAGGTTTATAATTCATCAACCACCGCCTCAGACTGGCAACTTCATTTTCAGGCACATCCCCTTTAGAATTTTCTACAGTCCCCCCAGGACTCTAAGCGGGTGGTAGGAAGGGCTGAGAGGCGGCAAGCGTATGGAGGGGGGTATATTTGAGACCAAAGACTCCAGCATAATTTGGAAGCATCTGCTTTGAGAGAATGCAACCCTTGTTAGGACCTGACAGGGAAGCTTCATAAAAACATGTTGTGTAAGAGGGATTAGAGCTGGGTGCTCGTTTCTGATTTAAGTTCACATTTGGTGATTTTGATCTTACTTTCTCCCACTTCTCCTCACTGCTGTGTGGAACGTGCCAAGGGCAGGCCTGTATTACAACATGTGCCATCATGAACCTCTTGAATTTGTTTGTTGATTACCTCACTCTCCACGATTCTATCACTTCTTTGCACACTTCCTCTCCTCTTTCTTTCTGTCTCATTCTAGTCATCATTTCTAGCTACTAGCTTTCTAGGAAATTCTATGGGACTTTCCTTGAAATAATAATGCTCCAAGATGAATAGTACATACTTTTAGTCAAACTTTAATGGGCTCCTATTGAGTGCCTAGTACCAGACACTAGTCTCTGAAAAGAGATGCAAGAGGAGCATGAAATGTGGTTTCTGATCCATTCATCCATTCAACACATATTTTTGGGGGAACCCATTACATAGAGTTTAGTTGAAGAAACACTAGTGAGTGGCCACAATACTGGCACTTAGGCAGACTTATACCCATTTTACAGGTGAAGGATCTCAGGCCCAAAGGGATCTGCTCTCCTTCCCAGGCTGCACAGCTAATAAGTGGAGAGCCAGGATTCCTACCCAGTCTGCCAGCTTCTGGAGCTTATAGAAGTCACAGACCAGGCTGCACCCTGGGACCAACCAGAGGGAAAGGCCATAGGTAGCGAATGCCATTTTGAATAGGCCAATAGTTTTATCAAAGAAAAAACGCAAAAGAATGGAAAGAAGAGTCTAACGGACCCACACTGACATTCCCACTGCTTGGGTGGCTGAGGTCCCCTGACTCACCTGTGGGACTGTTGACTCGAGGCCGTGACCTAGGGCAGGAAAGAGAATCGAGGTGAATGGCAGCTGCAGGCAGCTCAGAGACCTCCCCCAAGGAGTGGGCAGTCCTCAAAGGCTGTTTCACAGATCAACCTCTGGAAGGATTTTTTTAGGTTTGTATTGTTCTAGACCTAAAGTAACACCCCATTAGAGAGAATATAGAGAATAGAAACATGCGTGTAGAAGAAAATAACACCACAGGTAATATTTTGGCAAATCTCTTGTACATATGTGCACATGTGTTTGAGGATGTATGTGTACATTTAAATATAGAGATGCACAAAAATGACAAAAGAATGTACAGGATCCTGGTGTTAAAAATACACTGGTATGTCTTTAATATTCAAAACCACAATATTGATTGGCTGTATGATTTTCGGAGGGGGCATTTAGGCTCTTGTTGGATTTTACTACTGCAAGCAGTGTTGCGATGCACATCTATGCTTGTGTTTTTAATCTAATCGCTGAATATTCCCACGGAGAGACTCCACCACATGCAGTGAAGGGGTCAGGTAAAGTGGGTCTTCTAACCCCCCACGGCACATCCCTCAGTGGCCTTCCGGATGGGTTGTGTCAATTTACATTCTAATCCACAGAGTGAGAAGTGACTATCTCGCGGTACGTCGCCACTGTTAAATCCATACTTTCAAACAACTTTGCCTCCCTGGGATTCGATTCTTTATTCTAACTGTTTCACTTCCTTGATGACTAGTCAGAGTGATTTTTTTTTTTCCAAGTGGTTTTGGACCATTTGCATTTTTTCTGTTTTATCTGCACACGTATTTGTCCATTTTCCAGCAAGGTCTTTGCAGAGCCACGATGTTTGCCCTTGGACAGTGTGCTTCTGGAAGCACTTTCCCCCAGATTTTGGGCAATGATCTGAAAAGCCCTGGGGCGAGGAAAAGCTCTGAAGGACGCTGTTTCTGCCAGCCGACTTGTTTGTGCCGTTGATAATCCCCGGTCCTTGGACGGCACCTTTCCTCCGAGGCTCTCAAAGTGCGTCACAGGAGCAATTAATTGAGCATCGCAACACAGCCGGGTGTAAATATTTATGAGGCTTCATTGGTGGCAGGGCACTGGGCGCAGAGCCGGGAGATGATAGTAACCTGGAGACCGCAGCCCACGGAGTCCAGCTTCCCGCTCACCCTCTGGCCCTCTGCCCTTTTGCATGCTCAAAATGACTCGTGGGGTAGCTATTATTGTCCCAAGGTTACAGATGAGGAAATGGGGGATTTGGAGGGCCCACCACATGCCCATTCCCACAGAGCGTGAGGGATTTGAGACCAGCCTGTCGGACCCCCAATTCCTCGCCGTCTGCCCCACCAGCCTTTGCCCCTAGCCAGCAGTGAGTCCTGCTCTGGAAGCATCGTGCAGCTGCATCTCCGAACCCTTGTGGTTGGTCTTGGTACCCTTTCAAGCTGCCCGAGATTCTGCAGAAATTAACAGTCAATCAGGCGGGAAGGAGCAGGTCGTTCATCTGGGGCCTGAGATGACGCTTTCAACACACGGCCTCTTCCCTGACATGTTGGCCTTTGATTAAGGCCTCGAAAGGCTCCCCAGACTTGCAACTCACGACACATGAAATGGAAATGATATGTTTTTGTTACTGTGTACGGTGAGCTTGACGTGAGTGTGGCAAGCCAGGCGAGCGGCGGGAGGCAGCACAGCCAGGGTGGGCAGGAGGCCTGCCTGAGCCCTGGGGTTCAGAATAGGAGGCCCACTCTCCCCGGGATCCTAGAAAGAGCTTTGGGTTTTAGATTAGGCTTCTGTCCTGACCCTGTCCTCACCTGGCTTTTAGACTCAAAGGCTTTAACACTAGAAAGCGCATTGGCAATAATGTCCAATTCATTGTTCCAAGTGTCAGACTTGTAGAGGCAGAATTGGGGTCTTGGACATCCAAAAAGAGTGGGGCTGAACGGACAAGGGTCTGTTCAGGCCCTGAGGGAGGCTCCACTCTGGTTGGGTGGCTTTTCCCGCTGTGCAGATAAAGCTTCGAAGAGTTAAGTGACTTGCCTAAAGTGCCACAGCAAGCAATTAGCAGAGCCGGGATTTGTCTGACTCTAAATCCCTTATTATTTACCAGCCCATAGCAGCAACTTAAAGCTCATTGCTCTCTGCATCTGGGAGCTTCCTCCCAATTGTCAAGGCTGTCTGAAAGTGGCTTATCTGATCCACTCTGCCTCTCCTCGGGCCCCAAAGCGATGGTGCTCATTCATATGTCACATCCTCTGGGATTATGCACCCCAGGGTGTTCTGTGCGTCAATGCAAGCCAAATGAATTAGCAGAGGAAGCGTCAGCAAAGCAGGGAACGGTGCTGTTATTCCAGCTGAGCCCGCAAAGCCCGGAGGGAGAAGAGGAAGGCTGGAAGCTGACACCGAGGGCCTGGGAAGGACGGGGCCTGGGGAGGCGTCCTGCACTCCACGGTTGTATCTGGCTGGAGTGCCGATATTGCCTCGACACCAGCAGCTGACGAGCTATCTGAAAAGGCTCCTGTGTTAACACTCTTTGCAGCTTGACAGGCTGGAGTGATTAATGAAAGATGCTGCTAGCAAACTTCGTGGAGATTTGATGTGTTCTCTCTGTGCTCAAGCAAGGCCCATGTGTTAGCAAGCTGCCTCTCGCCAGGGAATTACAAGGATGCACCCGGCTTCCTTTCGTGCAACAGCATCAATAACATGGCCACGTGCCAACGGGCCACAGCTGGAGGGTGTTAGGGCTTGGCAGCCATCCCTCTGCTCTTCCCACCCCCTGCTCCCTTCCACATCTGGGCCTGCAGGCAGAGGGTCTTCCTCTGTACTTCTGGATGTATAGGCAGGTGTCCGCATTGTGCTGGGGGCAGGGTTCACGGAATACGAAATGAACAAGGCTGCTCTCCAGAGGTTTGTGGTTCCCAATATTTAAGACTCATTATAAATAAAGATTTTTGATTTCTCAATTATTTTTCATTTTTAATACTTCTTAATAATTTAATAATTTTTAATTTTTAAAGGGTATTAAATTAAACTCATCTTCTCCCCTTCCTGCCTGGGAGGACTGGGCCTGATGAAGCAGGCAGGGAGCACTTGCATTCTGCTTATCCACGGGAACAGAGTTTGGATGGTGTGTTATTCTGGTCCCATAGAGACGGGACTTGGTCCTGTCTCCAGGGTCAAGCTCCTGGCATGGAGACTAATTCTCATCGCCCCCTCAAGTGGATCTCTCTGGATCTCTGGATCCCCTCTGGATCTCCCCAGGCACCCTCTGGATCTCACCTCTGGATCTCCCCAGGCACCCGCTGCTGGTCTAGCACATGGCAGCCAAACCCCTGGGTAGTAGTCGGGGTGATTTCACCCTACCAGCCCTCTCCCTCTCTCAAACCTCCAAGATGAACTGGCTCAGCTCCACAACTCATTTTAAATTCTGCCCCTGAAATTAAAAGATTACTTTAGAATAAAATTCTCTAATTTTTGGAAGACAAATTGATATTTTTAAGCATTACTAAATTCATTTTTAATGTACTCTAGAGAGAAATGAAGAAGGATCTAAAGTTCTAAATTCATTCTCTTCTTCCCTCGGCTTGAATGTCTGTACTACGTCGGTAACTGTGCACTTTACATAAGTCATTTCACCCAAACTTCCTAGCAATTCTTGGTGGACAGTTTTTCTATCTCAATTTTAGGGCTACTATGGAATGTTAGCACCCAATGGGGCCGTGAACTAGCCCTTTCATTTTGCAGATGGATTGACTGAAGCCCAGGTTAGCCCCTTGGGGGAGTCACTGGTGCCATATTTCACAGCCCACCTGTCTGATGGCAGGGCCCGTCCTGCTGCCCCTCCACCAATGGCAGCGAGGCGGAGGGTTTGCATCAGGGAGCTATGGGAGCTAAGGTTTGGAAATGTACAGTGTACTTAGGGAACAGGAACCTGAAGGGATAAGTGTGAGGGACTGTGTCGACCTCCAGACAGTGTGGAGCTTTGCAAGGCAGTGGATAAAGGATGCTCAGAGCTGTATCTCAGAAGGGTACTGTGGGAGCATATAAGATGGACTGCAGAGGGAAGGATTGGGATAAGAGTCTAAGTAAGAGGTAGTGAGGGCCTTGACAGTGAGTGTTTTCCTCGCTTCCCACGTGTCCACCAAAGCCCCCCTCTGATCATCTGGCACCTATCCAGTGGAACGCACACTCATATAAACAGAACAGAGTACAGCTCGATTTCTCAAACTTCCTACACTAGGCCCCCACTCCTAAGGGGGAGACCAGGTATCTAATACGGCGCCTGGAACATGGCTCGTACACAAAAAGTGTTGTAGAATGAGCACGAATGAGCGAATGGATGAGTGAATGGATGCCATGCACACACGCACAGGGAGGCGTAGCTGGGAGGGGCATTCTCAGAGTAGGACAGCCTAGAGGCACCTTGCAGACCAAGTCTGGGTCTATTCACGGGCCTGTCCTATCCCAGCAAGGCCCAGTAGAGCATGCAGCACATAGCAGGAACCTGTCCTCATGTGTGCACACGTCCCACGTAAATCCCCACAGCAATAGGATCTACATTTTCATTACAGATCTGAGACTGGGGAACATCTCCCAATCCCACAGGATTTTGAAGCGGTTGAAATTCACACCAAGGTGGAATCAGGTCAAGGCTCATACTTAATAAGTGAATAAATGTGTTCATTCTTTGTTAAAGGAATCCTTGATGAGTTTCAAGAATCCTCCTTTTTTTAATTTACAGAAGAAAATATTTGGGGGTATGCAAGTCTCTGAAGGGGTCCTGGAGAAAATGCTGCAAGTGTTTGGTATCATTCAGAACTGTAAAAAGCTCATCCCTGCCAAGACCGTCTTGACCCAGGGAGGCCCCGCTTCCACCTCCTCAGGATCCTGCCCTGTCCCCATCCTTCCTCTGAGCTCCTATGGCCCTTCCTGCTCTAATAACATACTTAATATAATTAAAAGACAGCATGTAATTATTAATTTCTTATTTAAATCTCATTGTGAAATCTAAAACCTTCCTTGTGTTTTTAAATTTTCTTTCCTCAACTAGGTTTTAAGTTCTTTGAGGACAGAAAGCATGTTTTGTAAGCTACAATTCCTTTCATATAAACTATCAGTGTCCCTGACAAATATTAAAAGATGAGAACAAACGTCACTGGCATTTTGATGGGTTGTAGGGCAGATGCCTGAGAACAGCAGAGCAGGACAGTTTCCACGCCTCTTAGCTCCAGTGGACAGAGCAACTCCTGAGTCTGTGATCTCCTCCACTCTCTGACTCTTCTCCATGCGTTCTGTCTTCTGTCTCTTCTTTCCTCCATCCTTGTTCCTCTGTTAAAAGTTCCTCTTATCACCTATTTGAGTTTCTAGTATGTGCCAGGCACTGTGAATAGCACAAGATAAGAGCATCCTAGTGTATCTGAGCGGGTCCTGACTTTATTCTTTCTCCTTTCTGCCCTTCCCCTCCCCTCCATTCAGTAATGTTTATTGAGCATCTACTATGTAGGAGCTCCTTGTGGACAACCACAGGAAAGCTGGCGAGACGCCCCACTGTATCCCATGCATTGTCTGTGAAAGCACTTTGGTCACTTCATAAAGCTCTCAGCTTGTGAGATTTTTCAGGAGGACACTCCGCTTTCTGCACAGTAAGGGGGCCAGAGGGAGCAGGAGTGATTCTTGTGGATGTCTCACTGCCCCGGATTCCCAGGGAGAACAGGTTGGGCAAAACCAGAGAGATCAAGAGCAGACAAGCAGTAGTGGCTGCCCGTCTCCTCCTGGGACCGCAGGCGCGCCTGGCCGGGAACGTCCAGCAGGGGGCCCCCTAGTGCACAGAATAGAACAGGGCGGCAGCCTCCTGAAGGATGGGGACTGGCCACATGGGCCCTGAGAAATTACAGCCACCTGCACCTTGTCCCCCTGGAATTAACTGTTGCTGCAGGTGCTAGTGGCAGAAGGGAAAAAGTTGATAGTCCGTAAGGCAATGACTTGGGAAGGCTCTGAATGTGGGAAGTGTGAGTGACTGTTAATAATAGCGCTGTCAAGACGGGGAAGAAAAAGAGACTTGCCCTTGGAGTGTGAAGACTTGGCTTAGAACCCTGGCTCTGTGACTCGCTAGAATGTGGACTTGGGCAAGCTCTGGGTCTCCCATAGTCTCTCTTATTGCTCCCATGGGGCCTGGGTCTGCTTCTCTCACCGCTTGGGGCAAGTGTCTTATCTGTTATAGATTCCTTTTCTGTTTCCCTCTGCCATAGACTGAGCATCTGGATGGCAGGGGCTGTGTCTTCATCTCTGGTTTTCCCAGTCCCCAGTGCAGTGACCTTTCCCAGGTGAGGAGAACATTCCCTCCCAGCTCCCTCCTACCCTCTCTCACCTGGTCCCTACCTTATATCTTCTTCCCTCCACCCTGTTTACCGTGACTGAGTGGGCGGGGGCAGAGTGGGCTCTGAGGCAGAGCCTCTTACATCAGCACGCCTGGTAATGATGCTCAGACTTGAATGGGCACCACCAGGTGCGCTTGTTTAAACAAAGGTGTCTGGGCTCCAATGCTTGAGCTCCTGATTCAGCAGGTCTAAGGTGGGGCTTGAGAATTGGCATTTCTAAGAAGCTTCCAGGTGATGCTGATGCTGCTGGTCCAGGGGCCACACTTGGAGAACCACCACTATGAGGCTTCGTTATTGTGGATGTGGACGTTCTTTTCAGGAGTGTGACGCACATGCTCCTTCTTCATAGTGGGCAGTCTTTCCACAAGCAAATTGGAGACTCATAGGAACAGAAGACGAAATTCACATGTACGTACTGATACAGAAGAAAGTTGTGATAACTTAGAACCCAGCAATGGCACTCGATTTAAGTTAGACTCTGAATCTAAATCCAGCATTACCAGTTACTAGCTCTGTGACTGTGACCGAAACATAACCTTTCTCAGGCTCTCTTTCTTCATCTGTAAAATGGGAATAATAATACCAACCTCAGAGCACTATCATGAGATTAAATGCCATTAAATTCCTTTCGTGGTGTCTGGTACATGTTTGGTGTTCAACTATTGATTTGAACTTGGACTCAATTGGAAAACATCAGTCAATGTGTTTCTGTTTCTACCCCCATGGGGAATAGCTACAGAATAGACGTGGGCACTTGGCATTTAGCCTGATGAATTCCATGGGAAGTTCTAGGACACGTTCATATCAATGGTGTAGACAGGTCGTGGGTAATGGAGGCGGATGTGATCCTGAGTGTCTCGTGGATGGTCCCCTGGGCAAGATCACCTGGGTGGGGCCCCAGCACAGCTTCACATTTTACTCTGTAAGTCACTGAAAGCTCCTTGCATGTTTGAATTGGGGTGGGTAGGGGGAGCCAGCCCTCTGTGCCTGTGGGGAGAGCTGACTCCTCCACCCTACTAAGGGCTGGCAGGAGAGAGGGCAGTGGATGGAGTGCCAGGGTTGTTGGGTATTAGCAATAATATTAATGTATACTGTTTCTATACCACAACTGGCTATTCAGCCTTGAGGAGGTTAGTAATCTCCTCGGCCTGCATCCTCCTCTCCTATAATAAGGGAGGCTAATAGTGTGGTTGTTAGAATCCAGTGAGATGCTACCTTTAAGCCCTTAGAAGAGCACCCAGCACATGGTGAACACTCAGTGATAGTCAGTCTTTGTTATCTGTTGAGAACCTATATGTTCCAGGCCCTACCGAGGTCATGCATTTAGTCCCCAAACACAGGAACTGCATTAGGTACAGGGATCAGCAGTGGACAAGACAGCCTACTCATTATTTTTCAAATACCATTTCTAAAATACATGAAGTCTGAAACAGAAATGGGCTTGTCTGAGGGAGGTCACTCGGCTACTCAGCAGGTCAGCTGCGATTTAAATCCAGTCCCAACAGACCCCCCTCTGTTGGCAGCACTGCCCACCTCCAGCACCCTCTCACCGTCACCGTCATCAAACACTCATAATCGTAGTTTGTGTGAAGAAGGAATACATAGCTTTAATGTTATTAAAGTAAGATAGTAGACCCAAATATGTAGTTTTCAAACATTTTGATTTGGTTTATATATCTCAAATACTAATTTATATTCATACAATACTTTCCTTATAAAATATGCAGTGGTACAGAGATTTGTATGTATACGGGAATTTTTTTTTTAATTTAGGTTTATAAATTGTTTGGAACAGGTTGCAGAAACATCATCTGTTGCTCTTTTTAATATATCTTGAGCATGCTATGACACATCCTGAAATAATTCACTTCAGAAAAAATAACTTCTCTCTTTTTTTTCCAAATGTAACCACAAATATTACTTTGATGTATGTAATTGCTGCGCCCATCTCCATTTGAAGGACGGCTTCTAACCCTTCCATCTCCCATCCCTGCTATTGTCAAGAAATAAGAAAAACCAACTTAAAATGCATTATTCAAGTGTATTTAATGTAGACAGTGAAGAAGTCTGAGAACAGCTGCAAATTTTCCTTTGCTTAACGTGGTCTTGAAAATATTTCAAGTCGTCTGTTTCACAGCATTCATGCATTCTGCCTAGGGAAAATATTTCTTCAAGCAAATCTTAGGATTCCAAGAATGCTTCTTGTGTGTGGCACACAGTAGGAACGGAATGGATGTGTGGTGACCGACTTGACTTGAAGTACATGGGAATGAAGGATTGGTCTAGCACGTGGAGATCTTTGGTTTCCTGGAGGCACAGAGACGGCTCGGGCGGGGCGTGGCGAGGGGGTTCTGGCTGGACGCCCAGAGACCCGTGAGCCCCCTGAGCATCAGAGTGCAGCCCAGGATCAGACTGCTGGTCAATGGCAGGGCTGCATTCCACTTCAGGCTTGGCCTCCGGTCAGTCATTTCATCCAGTTACCCCCACTCTGAGCTGTCAGACTTGGCTGTGAGCCCCTCAAAGATAGGACTTTGTCTTCATCTCTGTATTTTCAGTAGCCTGTGCAAGTCCTAATGCCATAATTGCTCAGCAAATGTTTTGCTCAACTGAAGGACAAAGATAAGAAACCATATAGGCACATGGCACCCTCTAGTCTCCTTGCTTGTGAGCCCTGGCCATGGACTCACGCCCTGATCCATCCATGATCCATCCTTTAAATCATTCACCACTGAGGAATGGAAGCTTCCCTCTCAGTGGCTATCTCTTGGGCTCTTTAGAGACTTGGCTGGGTGGTGGAAATAGCTCTGGCCTGAAATGCTGTGGACTCCTGGGGGTTTCTCAGTCTATAGCTTCATCAAGCACGTGCTGGCAGTTCACTCACATCAGGTCCCTTCTCCTTCCGGACATTGGTCTCCATGTAACCATGTCAGTGTAAGATCACTGACAGCAGTATAATTCTATCCCACTAACGTTGTGTGTGTGTGTGTGTGTGTGTGTGTGAGAGAGATGCTCAGCTTATTTGCCACAGAATCAAAAATTTCACTCCTCTATTAATAAACAAATAAATATTCTGACCTATTTTTTGGCAGAGGGACGTTCTGGAACTTCAGATCACTGGATCTTTCATTTGTTGTCCTTCGATTGCCCCTGGGATGAAAGAAAATAGATTATAGTCAGGAAATAGTAAGAAGCTGGGGGAAAAAAATTAATTAAGTGCATTCATTCGTAGAAACAACTACCTGGTCAGATTTAAGTAATTAAGGTCTCACAATTCCAAATCTCTCTTAGCATTTCCATTGGGGTTAAGAAAAATCTGTGTTTAAAGTAATCTAATTACTTGAAAGTATTTTTTAACGTAAGAGCTTTCGTAACGAGGGATGCTAGCGTGGGGTGGAAGAAGGCCCCAGTCAGGATGAGGACGTGGGCCGCTCTCCCACCTCAGGAGGGTCACTGCAGGACCCTCCTTAAGCTCTATGAGTCTCCATGACATTGGTCTGTAAAAGGAGGAGCACCATACCTTCCCCACATGGTTGATGGGAGACTGTCATCAAGGACAGTGTCCATGGGCCAAGGAATGTTCTAATCCTTTCCTATGTTAGTCAAATTTGACCCCAAACTAGCAGACATCATCCGGTGTAGGAAGGCATGTTACATAGCAACAGCAACTCTTATTCAAATAATATTTATTGAACTCCTATATAATTTAGGCAATTTGCTATGGCATTTTCTATGAAGAGATTCAATTATTTTAAATTGAGTTAATTTGTTCAAATTCAGAAAGGCATTCACTATCGTAAACCATCACTATTATGCATCCCTAGTTCATCTAATTAGCCGAGTTTAATATGCTTTCTTTTCTTCTGCAGGCATTTCGTGGGTGCTATCAGACATTTACTGACGATACTTTCCTCCACAAGGTCCCTGGTTAGCTCCTCCCACCTCGCCGCCCTCCGTCCTCCCCACATGGATCAAACCTGCTTCCTCTTGGTCGGTGGACGCTCTCTACTCTCTCCCCAGGGCTCTTTCAGGTACTGTTCCCTTTTCTCAAATGCCTGTAATTCTCCTCCTTCACACTGACTCACACTCTGAGTTCAGCTCAGGTGTCACTTCCTCAGAGAAACCTTCTAACCTCTGAGATGGGTCCTTCACAGCGCTTGTCTGAAATGTCATTGTCCTTTGTTTGCACTTGTATTCACACCTGATAGGCCGGCTAAACCACCATCTCCTGAGGGCAGAGGTTGTGGGGCTTTGGTTCCCAGAGCCCGGGGCGGTGCCTGGCCCCCAGTGGGCTTCAGTGGAGTACATGAGTGTACACACCAATGAAAGGCTCCAAGAAATGCCTCCTGGGGACTTCAGACTCTCTCTCCATCTAGCCCATGGAGAAGAACGCGATGGATAAAAAGTTTAATGAGTTGTTTGGATATAGTTTGTCACTTGTAAAATGACCATCTAGAAAGATGATGGCATTATTTCATAATTTCAAAAGCGTTTCATTATTACATTATTTCACTGTTTTTTTTATCTGGGTAAAACTTGATTCATAAATCTATATCTGCTCTCTGACTTCTCTTCTAAGTTCTAGACGTGGACACTGAACTATTTTCTGGGCTTTCCTCATTGGTTATCCTCCAGCAGATCCAGGCCATTTTGCTAGTGAGCGGCTCCATTGCTTTCTGAGTTTCCAAACCAGCAACCCGGGCACTCACTTTGAATCTTTTCTTTCTCCTCCTCCATCCTGGGCATCTTGCTAATTTGTGACCAGATCCTCACGATTGATCCCCAAATATCTCTCATTCTGTGCCTCCCTCTTCACTCCCATAAGCTGTGCTTCGTTCTGCTTTCCTTCTCTCCAGCCTGGCTGTAGCATCAGCCTCTCAGCCTCCTGGGCTTAACCCAGCCACCAAACTACAGCAAGAACAACCTGTCTAATTAGCAGAATATTGTCAGTCACCTCCCTGCTTGAAAATCCTCACCACTTTTCCATTTCTGCAGGACACAGTTCAAACTCTTTACCCTGATAGCCAAGATCCCTGCCCCGGGGGCCTTGAATACAATTTCTGTTGTTTGTGTCCCCATTTCCTGCCACTGTCTTCCTCATCCATGGTCCCCTGCATGGTCCATACTTTTGTATGCTCCCAGATCATTGATCAGATTCTTCTTTTTGCCTCCTCTGGATCTGGCAAGATACTTTAAGGTCTAGTTCGAATATTAGTTTCCCATGAGTTCTTCTGTGCTGCTTCCTCTTTGAACCCCTTTGGTATTTTTGGAATATCTCTGTTTTATAATTCATTCATTTGTTTATGAATCCATTCATTCACTTACTCAACAAATAGATGTCGGACCTATTCTGTGCCAGGCTGTATGTTAGGCAATGGGATACATCATTAAAGAAGACAGATGAAGTCTGCTTCATGAATCTTTTATCGTCTTTGGGGAGAAAGGCCACCAAGAGTAAATAAACAATCTTGTTTTATCAGACTGCCATGTATGTGCCTGTGCATGTGTCACCTTCCCCTGGAGTAGGGGCTTCTTGAGAGTGGCAGCATGTCCAGGCATCGTTCTCTCTCCCAGCACACTGGCTAACTGACCCCGGGCATGACCTCAGGAATGTGTGGAGGATATAAGTAGATGCATCGACAATGAATAGACAAGTGGCCTCCCCATCTGGGCTCATACACAATAGCGAACCGAGCACACAATTGTGGAAAGTTCTTTGGATCTCTGATTCCAGGGAAATTCTGACCTGTCTCTGCATGGAGAAAGAGGCCCTCAGCTTCATCACATTTCTGGGTTATGGCAGCATTTCTGTGCTCTGATGCCCATGTAACATTGCCTAAATGGCTTTAACCAGTCCAATTTTAGGAGGATGGGAAGGATTCTGGGAATTTCCTCAGCCTCTTCCTAGGTGCCTCAAGAACCCAACAGCCTGGGAGCTACCTCTGACCTTTCCAGAAAATCTGCTTTTGCCTTTTTAACTTTAAGAAGAGTTGAACTCAAGCTCTCTTTCATCTTTACAGCAACAACTCTCAGTAGTAAATGGGCAGGTGTCCTTTTCAGCTCCAAGCTACAGATGAGGAAACAGGGACCCAGAGAGTGGAGGGGATTTGGTTCAAGGTGACCAGGCTGTTGGATGGCTCAGCTAGCACGCCATACCAGGTCTCCAATCTCCTGCTATGTGCTTGTTAAATGTGCTGCACAGATAGCCAGAGCGTGTGACGGCCCGATGCTCAGGGCCAGGCTCCTCTGAGAGCAACTAAAAGACCCACAAGAGAATGGGCGGGGGGAGAATGGAGAATGAGGAGGAGGAGCTCTTCCTTCCAGAATGGATTATTTCAGGAAAATATTAACAAGCTGGCAAATAAACAGCCGTCTACCTGGACAGTAAGTAGTTAAACTCTTCTTGTTTTTAAAATGCATAAAAAGAGCAGAGTGCAGCAGAAGGGTTAGAAGCAGAAGAGCTTTCCTCCCTGCCCCCTCCCCAGTTATTTGCTTTGAGTTTTGTTTGCTAATCACAAGGAAGACCTAAACGTCCCACCCCAAAGTTTTCCTCCCCACCAGCTCTCTCCGCCTTAAACCATTCCTGAGGGTTCACTTTTTAGAGAGACACTTCTTTAATGTACAATGTTGAAAGAATCATAAAGTTTCAGTCTAGACAATATTATTAAAGAATGTCAGTCATGATAGGTCAGAATGGGTTGTTTTGCATTACATTGAGATCTGACCTCGGAAGGAGATGCTCAACAATCCTGAGTTGGCCATTGCATCTGTGAGCCTGGGGAGACAGTCCTGTTGCCTACGGTAGTGTGAGTGGATACGCATCATTTTACAAGGCCTCAAACATTTGGGACCAGCTGTCCTTCCTATGGGCCACTCGCCCCACCCTACTCATGTAGTAAAATAAATCAGATGAACATGTTTAAACTCCTGCTCTGTTACATGTCATTGACCCTGGTCAAATGCCCACCAGGGAAGCAACACAGGCTAATTTATTATACAGAGAACTCAGCACATCCCAGGAAAGTGGGAAATGCCATGGGCTTGTGGGGATACCGAGGCACAGAGTGTCAGTGAGCGAGCCAATTAGTTGTTCTTGCAATCATCTCACGTTCTCCTGAAAATGAGTACATCACCCCACACACTCCAGCTTCTCTTCTTGACTGCCCTCCCCGCACTTCAGGTTCCACGCCTTTCGGCCATCTTTGATTTCCTTCCTCTCCTCTGCAACTACGTTTTTCTTTTTTTTTTTAAAGATTTTATTTTTTTCCTTTTTCTCCCTCAAAGCCCCCTGGTACACAGTTGCATATTCTTCATTGTGGGTCCTTCTAGTTGTGGCATGTGGGACGCTGCCTCAGCGTGGTTTGATGAGCAGTGCCATGTCCGCATCCAGGATTCGAACCAACGAAACACTGGGCCGCCTGCCGTGGAGTGCGTGAACTTAACCACTCGGCCACGGGGCCAGCCCGTGCAACTACCTTCTGCGTGGTCAGTTAATGAAACACATCTAGTCCTCCTTCACATGTTTTCTTGCTCCCTCCCTTTCTTACATCCCCTCTGAATCTTCCCTTTCCAGGTCCTCATTACTTTTCAGCCAGTTCTGTGTAGTTGAATCAATATATAGCGGGTGGAACAGTGTCTACAAGACATATGTCTCCGTGGAACCTGTGAATGTGACCTTATTTGGAAACAATTTCTTTGAAAATGTAATTAAGCTAAGGCTCTTGAGATGAGATCATCCTGGATTAACGTGGACCCTAAATCCAATGACAGCTGTTCCCGTAAGAAAAGAGAAGAGGACAAAACACAGAAGAGAAGGCCGTGTGTAGCCCCATGTGAAGCTGGAGGCAGAGATGGAGTGATGCTGCCACAAGCCAAGGAATGTCAGGAGCCACCAAAAGCTGGAGGAGGTGAGGAAGGATTGTCCCCTAGAGCCTTTGGAGGGAGCACAGTCCCGCTGACACTTTGGTATCGGACTCCTGGGCTCCAGAACTGAGAGAGAATACGTTTCTGTTGTTGTAAACCACACGGTTTATGGTAATTTGTGATGGCAGCCCTCGGAAACTAACACGCAGAACTTCCAACTTGTCCCAAGGGACAGAAAATGAATCAGACCCAAATCCAAAACAGAGCAACGTAATAGGTGCAATCAA